CTCTGGAGTGGGGGTTCAGGAGGAAGGGGGCAGTTGAGGGGTTTTTATCGGATTGTTAGAATGTCATAGGCGGGCAGGCCGGAGTCCACATCACCCTGGTTCAGACAGACTCTTTCCGATGGGGTGATCTCTGTTGAAATGGTCTCTGCACAGTGTTCTATGCAGTTTTCTTGGGGCGAGACCATTCCCTCCACCCCCACCCCTGCAGCTACGCACCCCCTTGACCTTGCCAGTGGTCACACCTCCAGCCCCTCTCCAAGGCGGGCACCACAGCTGGGCACACACCTGCCCATCAGTGCCTCTTCTTCAAGGGTGATGGGACCCCTGGGCATTCTGCCTCCTAAGAACTTAGCAAACTGGAGGGGTGAGGCTTCCCCATCTTCCTTCTGGCACACCACATTGGATCCCATGGAAATCTCTAGATTTCGCTGGGCAGCAGGCTCCATGTTTACAGGAACCTCAAATTTCAGATGACGCACAGCAGGGATCCCTCCTCCTCCCCACAGCGTGCCAGACTCCCAGGCTTCCAGACACAACCCCAGGACTGGCTCTCTACTGCTCCCCTCTGCGGCAGCACCAGGGACCGCCTGTGCCCCTGCCGCTCAGCCGGAGTCCAGTGGGCCGTGTGATGCCAGACTCCACTTCTAGGGCATCTGCAGTCCTTGTAAAGGGTTCTCGTGGCGCAGCCCGCCCTCCTCACGCAGGGAAGGGGAAAGAACCGGCGTTTCCCTCGACCCCTGGCCTCCTCACCGCCCTACACATCCCTGGTTCTCTGTTAAGACTGGTGGGTGGGGTCTGGGGCGGGCAGGGTGATGGAGAGGACTTTGTGGGCGGTAGGGCCATTTCTGCTGCTGCTTACCAAGACCTCCAGGGAGATGGTTGGCTCCAGCTGCTGGGGCTTTCTCTAGAACGAGGAGTATTTAAGTGACTTTAGTTTTGGACCAGAGGAGTGTTTTAGGACATTGAAATATATGCATTATAATGTTTATCCGCAGACAGGTGCGTAATGATACATGGGTGTGTATCCTAGGCCCTAAAATGACCAGGACACTGTTCTGTCATCTTTTTCACATACGAGTCACAAAACCCTGTGAATCCAAAGTACAAGCAAGTGCCATACATTCTGATTTTCTCCATGACTACAAATCTCAAAGTGTAGAGGAAAAGAACACAGGTGTTCCTGCATTCCTTGTTCCCTAAGCACAGGTTTATTCTGCAGGGGAACCCAGCACTACATCCCTGTCTTACTGAGAAGGTTCAGTGAGTGAATAAATAGGAAAGTATCTACAAAATTATGTGATCTCCAAATATACACGAGCATCATGATTACATATCATTGTATATGCGATTTTTACATATGAACACACATACCCACAAACCTTGTTTTAGTTTGGCATGTGAAAGTAAGTTGGTGCCTAGAATACCTTTTTTAAAAAAAAATATATTTTATTGATTTTTTACAGAGAGGAAGGGAGAGGGATAGAGAGTTAGAAACATCGATGAGAGAGAAACATCAATCAGCTGCCTCCTGCACACCCCCTACTGGGGATGTGCCCGCGACCAAGGTACATGCCCTTGACCAGAATCGAACCTGGGACCCTTGAGTCCGCAGGCCGACGCTCTATCCACCGAGCCGAACCAGTTAGGGCTGGAATACCTTTTTTATTTCATTGGTATGTACTAGTCAATCAAGTCTCCAGCCAAACTGACTGAGTGGTAAACTTGACGCTATGATTCTAGGCAAATAGCTTAATCTCTCTGAGTCTCTATTTCCTCATCTGCAGATAGAGATAATAATAGTGTCTACCTCATGGAGTTGCTGTGAGAGTCTAATGGGTTAATTCATATAAAAACACTTAGCCTTAAAAAATTGTCTGGGACCACAGTTAGCTCTCAAAGATGAGCTAATATTATATCCCTGTATTAACTCCCTAGAAAAATGGGAAATTCCTTATTTTTTTCTGTATTTTGGATGTTTTAAATAGAAATTAAATGGATAAAAGTAGCCTTTACTTTGTGGTGAAGCTGATTTTTAAACATTTCCCTTAAAGATGATCTGGGGGAGGGTGGGGTCAGAGCAGTGTGAGCAATCTCGTGACGGGACGGGCAATCAGACTTACCTGAGGTCGGTCCAGGTAGCAGTGCGATTCGGCACCAGCCATTCACTCAGAAGAGCAGGCTAGTTAGCTACGCAGGCAGGACAAACAAGCAGCAACAAATGAGAATATGCATGACCATCTGCATGTCCAAGATTGCAACACCAGGCATTCATTACTGAGTGACAGATCTGTGCGCCTTTCTTTCTCCCCTAACTCACACTTGTTTTCCTTCTGCTGCTTCCTGTGGGACATAGCCCGCTCCCCTCTGAAAGGCGGCATGTTTGCAGATTGGTGTCAAAGGGAAAAGTTTGACCTAACGATTCTTTTCAAATGGCTTCTCAATATTTCATTTATCGTTTCAGCCTCATCGCTTTCTTACCTTCCGACTGTGCACAGCTCTGATTAGCTGTATTGGCTTACCCGACTCAAATTGATTTTGTTGAATTTTCTGGACCGTTTATATATTTATTTCCTATGTCCTTTCTATTTTTTTTTATCTGTCCATTTCAAGCTTTCATTCTGAACTCATCCAGATGCTAAGTCTTAGCAGTCTTGACCTTCTCAGCCAATATTCACCAGGTTATAATTTATTTGCTATCAGCAACCAAATTTAAACAATGCTAATCTTGTTCTAATTTGGTTTGTATCAGCTCTCCTCTTGGTAGTTAGAAAAAGCAAATGTTAATGTCTGGTCTCCCTTCTATGGGTGTTATTCCCTCATCCTTCATGTACTGCAGTTAATAAAAAAGAGAGATTGGGGCCCTGGTTGGTGTTGCTCAGTGGTTAGATCATCAGACTGTGCACCAAAGGGTCTTGGGTTCGATTCCTGGTCAAGGACACATACCTGGGTTACAGGTTTGCTCCCCTGCCCCTGGTCAGGGAGCATGCAGGAGTCAACCAATTGATGTATCTCTCTCACATTGATTTTTTCCCTCTCTCTCTCCCCCCTCCTCCCTTCCTTCCACTCTCTCTAGAAAGCAATGGAAAAAAATATCCTCAGGTGAGGATTAAAAAAAAATTGGGGCAGTGGGAACCATAATTTTACCTGAATTTTAAACAGAAAGCATTTTGGCAAGAACACTGAGTATGTAGAGGGTGGGGGGCAGGAGGCAGTTTGCGAGCCTACTCTGGCTGTGGTTCTCTTTCCCCATTTTACCTCTGGGCAGGGGCTGGAGTGGTGGGAAGTGGGGGTGGTCTCAGCTGGTGGAAGATGCCCCACAGCATCCCTGAGTGCCTGCCGCTGCCTGGGCACAGGCTCCTGTGGTGGCTGCTGCCATAGGCGGGATTATGTGGCCTGCTGGGGTAGAATTCCTAGTTTTCTGTGTATATGTTTGGGCTTCCATTCATTGTGTGCGTATATTTGCTGACTTCAGGGGCAGAATTTCTGAAAAGTGGCCAGGGTAGGCAGAGGGGAGCGCTGCAGGTGGCTGTTGAGCATGTCGTGAGAGGTTTTCTCAAACCCTAATTTCACTTTCCAAGCAGGTATTTTAATCAGAGGCTAAATTCAGATTCTGGACCCTCAAGCAATAGTTTGCAAAAGCTCACGTCTGTGTTCCCTTCCAGGTCGCAGCAGGAGCTATGCTCCCTCCTCATGGCTGCTGGCTACTGTTATAACAGCATTTCTTTCTCTCCTTTCTTCCTGTCGTGAACTCACAGGTCATACCTGGCCAACAAGGCTCAGCTTACGTTGTGCCTCCTCCAGGAAGCTCTCCTGACCACTCCAGTCCAGGGCCACCTCTCAATAGTCTAAACCAGGCATCAGCACATGCTGTTTGTGGGCCAGGTCTAGCCCACTGCCTGTTTTTGTAAAGAAAGTTTTATTAGAACATAGAGCTATGTACCCGAGACTAATACAAACTAATATTGCATGTAAACTGCAACTGAAAAATAAAATGCAAAAAAATATGGATAATATGTAAGAAAACATATAGTTACATTCATTTGTTTATGTACTGTCTAGGGCTGCTCTCAAGATGCAATGGTAGAATTGAACAATCGTGACAGAGACTATATGGCTCACAACCCTAAAATATTTACTTTCTGGCCCTTTACAGAAAAAGTTTGCTGACCCCTCTCCTCCACTGAGGGGCTTAATGTGCACGTCTCTCAGCATGATGTGTAATAAATGCTCCTTTTTTACAGTTTGCAAAACTCCTTGTTTTAAACTTAGCATAGTCTTTTAGTATTTATCAGATGTTTTTCTCACTGGACAAATATTCTTAAAATTACACTTGGAGATTGGGGTGAGTTCCCCACATGGGACAGAGAACCCACAGGCAATTTTATTTTCAAGTGACAACATTCATTTGTTATTGTTGTCAGGCGATTGCCGATAAGGCTCTCAGAGCATAGCTTTGTACCGAAACCATTCCTTCCAACCCAGAACTCTTACTTGTTACTGATCTCAGAGTAAGAACATAAATCTTATCAAATTTCCATAAGGACAGGGGAAGCTGTAACTTAATCAAACCATTCATATGGAAGTCTGAAAGCACACACAATTTTAGAAGGTTAGCACTTAACTCTAAAAAATAATACTGATGGGCCCGGCTGGCGTGGCTCAGTGGTTGAGCATCGACTTATGAACCAGGAGGCCATGGTTAGATTTCCGGTCAGGGCATATGCCCGGGTTGCAAGCTTGGTCCCCAGTGGGGGGTATGCAGGAGGCAGCTGATTGATGATTCTCTCTCATCATTGATGTTTCTGTGTTTCTCCCTCTCCCTTCCTCTCTGAGGTCAATAAAAACATATTAAAAAATAATAATAATACTGATGGGATCCTCTTAGACACTCAGGTGTCCCACTTTGTAAGAATCTGACTTGCGCTAGGTATGAAGGCGAGCATACACTTAAGTCAGTGACCCAGAGCTCGAGTCATCCATTCATCTTCTCTCCTGCCTAGCGGCCAGCCCATCCCCAGGGTGGAGTACACGGAGGAAGAAACGAAAACTTGGGGCGTTGTATTCCGGGAGCTCTCCAAACTCTATCCCACCCACGCCTGCCGGGAGTATTTGAAAAACTTCCCTCTGCTGACTAAATACTGTGGCTACAGGGAGGACAACGTGCCTCAGCTTGAGGATGTCTCCGTGTTTCTGAAAGGTAAGGCTTCACACAGGCTTCCATCCCGGCCAGCATCCTCATTTGCCCTCCAAGGACACCTATGCCCTCCTCTGACTCGGACGCTCCCACCTCCCTCTTATAAGAAGGACCCTGGTGACTATATCAGCTTGACATGAATAACCCAGAGTGAGCTCTGCATGTCAGGGTCCTTAACTTAGCACATCTGCAAAGTCCACTTTGCCTCGTAAGGAAACGTCTTCACAGGTTCAGGGGATTAAGGGCCATGGATATTTTTTGAGGGCCATTATTCAGCTTACCATGGCCTCTTAAGTATTGCTACTCGAGCTTTGTGACCCATTGTGAATGCTCTTTTCTTCCCACTCCAATGCCACCACTCAAGTTGAAGTCCCCTTCACTTTATAACCTTGACGCCCGTGTCCTCTCCCCTCTGCTCCCCTGTCCACTGCTTCCAGATAAAGCTCCCTATCGCATGACTTTCTTCCTGGCATCTCTGCTCAGAAATATCAGTGCCTCTCCTTTGTTTTATTGGGGTTGGCAAACTTTTTTTTTCTCCCCTGTAAAAGGCCAGATGGTAAATATTTTAGGCTTTGTGGGCTGAGAGGCAAAATGAAGGCTCCTATTTAGGTACTTCTATAACCATTTAAATATGACGGTTAAAGAATGTAAGAACTGTTCCTAGCTCATGGGTGTACAGAAACAGGCTGCCAGCGGGATTTGGACTACAGGCCATACTGTGGTGGGTCTGGTTTACATGGTCAAGTTCTGAATTGCTCAGCCTCAATTCAAGGCCCTGACCCAGCTTTCCGAGTTTGTCTCCTGCTATGACTGAGCCGCTCACAGCCCTCTGTTCCAGCTGTGGGCCCTCACACCTTTGCTCAGGCTCTGCCCCTGGCTAGGCAAGTCAGCCCATTTTCACCTACTCAGATTCTACCTACTCTTTGAGGCTCAGGACAAATCCTGCTCCTCTATGAATCCTGATCGTAACAGCCTTGCTGAGCTCTCCTAGATCACGTGAGTGTCAGGAGGGAGGTGGGTGTGGTCTGACAGCTGGTACACTGAGCACCACACCCGGCACCAGGGAGGGTGAGCACCACCCATGGTGTGTGTTACTGAGGGACAGAGATGGAGAATCAGCTTCTGTTATATTGTTTAACTAGATTACATTTCCCCCAAAGCCTTGCCTCTGACATGCCCCTCTGTTTCCCACAGAGCGATGTGTATATTACATATTTACCATGGGCCTGATTGCTCACCTACGGGGTTTGCTTCTTACTGCATTGTTTCTCAAGCCCCTGGAATTAGAACACCATCCCACGAGTTTTGCCACATCTGTCTCCCAACTTAGCATTTGTGTTATGAGAGGTGGAATAGCATATAGCACGGATTCTGGAGGAGCCTGCGTGCTGCCGGCTCCTAGCTCTGTGGCCTTAGATGAGTTACCTTACCCTCTCTGTGCCTCTGGGTTTCTTCTCTGTGAATGAAGATAATACTATTATCTAGCTCACGAGGGCTGGGAGGGGAAACTAACCAATATAACTTAAAGCCCTAAGATTATTGCTTGACACACATTAAATGCAGCAGAGTCTTAGTGATTATTACTATTATTGTTGTTGTTATTGTTTTTATTGCTGTTTCTCACGACCCTTGGTGAACTGGATACTGGGAGTGTGGTTTGCATCACTCATTGGTTCATAGCAAGCACAATGTCAGTGTTCTTATTGCTTTTAATCGACTGACTTTTAAAATATCTAATTTATTTTAAAAGAACACTTTTTAAGCAATGATATCCACAAATTCAAAGTTCTTGCTGTGGTAGGTACATCTTTTAAAAAATTTATATAAAAATACAGTACATAACTATTAAAATAAAGACTGTTCCTCTGGGTACCACACTCATGTCCCCCATGAGTGGGACACACTGGCTTAATGGATACAAAATAGAAAAAGGAGAAAATACACTTCATCTTTTTGATATCCAGTGGGGAGCAACCCAAAGCGGAAGCTTTGGCATGAGCATAATACTGTTAGAATGAGGGGTCTGAGGAGGCCTGAGGACAGGGTAATGTCCACGCAGACACCAGGAACTCCACGGAGACTGGTTTTATAAGCTTAATTGCTTTTTGTCCTTATAACCATTTCTGGACATTCTAAGGTGCTCTCCTAATGCGGGGAGGTTTTCAGAACGGGAGCCTTTGGTGTGCTGGTGTCCGAGGGAAGACGGGCCTTCCTGAGGTAAACGCTCTGGGCCTTGACCAGGAGGAAGCAGGAGGCAGCCCTTAACGGAGACGCTGATGATCCATCCACAGCCTAACTGAGCTGGCAGCATAGAGCAGTTTCATAGATTTTATTATATTCTGCTTATTTGATTCCCTCTTACTATAAACCAATAAAGCATGTAGGGCTTTCATGTCCCTCTTCAAATTGGAGTAATTGATGTGACTGTTTTCATAATATCACAGAAACAATAATACAGAATGAAGGAGTTAGGTGGTATTGACAGTAGGAAGCTGGGATGTGAATTGATTCCATGAAGCTAGTGAAGGGAGTAAATGAGCTGCTAACTGACCACATACCCGAAGGAGGGATCCCTACCTGGGGGA